CTTCGGGACTGTGGTCTTTGTTTTTACCTCATGCGGAAAAAACAATAAGCTTTTTCACTTACAAGGGATTTCTGGCTGGGATGGAGCACTTGAGTCGGAGTAAATGAGATTTACATTGCAGAGGTAGAACGTCTGTGATTAAAATGGATTGCTAGTCTTGTAGTATTCCCCACAGGTTAAGCCTTCCCCCATGTCTGTCCAACATTCGACAAATGATCTGGGCAAGACTGTTTGAACTGTCAGAGGCATCTCGCAAAGCAAACATCAACTTATTCAATTATGTTTGATGAAATTTGTGCAATTTTTCCTCTGTCAATACACAGTAATTCAGTTCTGTTTGAAGAGGTAAATTTGGACCCATACCATAATTAACCTCCGCGGGTGGAGAGTTCCACACAAGATCCTTCCATCAGACTGAGATGGGGTCAAAGAGGGTCATTGTTATTTGCATGTTTCTCTTATCAAGCTGGCTTTAAGTGGTAATGAATCTGAAAATATTATGTGTCTAATCAGGCGCTGTAATATGTGATAGACGATCTGTTTATTTTGGCCAAAATGATGAATCTAGGTCCTGATCAGAAGATAAACCTTAGTCAATATCTCCATCATGACAAAATCCATATCAATGCCCCCATACAAATAGTTCAACAAATATTAGATGATGTTTTTAAGATATAAAATAGTCAAGTCATCATTTCTGATTCCTTTCTATTTGTTGTTTATTTGTTTAATTGATAAGAGACTGCAACGGTGCTATAAATTTACTAGAAACTGAGAGAAATGCACAGCTGGAGTGGGATTCGAACTTGGGACCTTCCAAAATCTGACATTTACCATATTGAGCTATCTGGTCACCGACAATTGACCCAGTCCAGTTCCGCTACTTTCCTCCATTTTTCTAAGTCTTCACCCCCGAAGACACAACTATTTACAACCCAGGTTCGGGCATTCTCTTGCCAAGCAATCATCCGGTACTTGAAAAAAGTGTTGGCAAGCTCGCCAATTTTAAAATAGGTGATAGAAAATGCCCGTCCAGACCGAGATTCGAACCTTGGACCCTCTGAGCTTTACCATCGACAGTCTAGCCAATTGAGCTATCAATCCAGTCCAGCTCTGTTAAATTACTATATGTTTATTTGAAACTGTAATGATACTGTATTATCGTTGGCAACCAGGAAGCTCAATTGGTAGAACATCCTTCTAGAGTTTGGAGGGTCCAGGGTTCGAATCCCGGTCTGACTGTTGCATTTCTCTTTCTCCTGTTAAAAAATTGGCGAGCTTGCCAACCTTTGTTTCAAACACTGGGTGAATGATCAAGATATCTGAACCCGAGTTATAAATAGTTGTGTCTTTGGCAGCAAAGTAGCGGACTAGACTTGGTTGATGGTTGGCGACCAGGTAGTTCAATTGGTAGAGTGACTCCATCTAGAGTTCAGGAGATCCCTGTCTGGCAGGTGCCTTTTATCTTTCTCTTGTTGCACATTTATTAGAGACTGTAATGATACTGTATATTTACTAGAAACTGTTTTTTTTTTTTTTTAACAAACATTTACTCATGTCATCAAACTTTCAAACTACATATGCCATGTCATTATCATTAATATACTATTCCTTAAATAAGGGACATATCATTAAGGACTTTATGGAACGCGCCAAAAAGCAACAACTCCAAGTAAAACTTCTCAGCATCAGTTACTGTCCTACTAACAGCTTACACAATGGAGGTTTTCTGTCTCAATTCGACTCTGTGGCCTGTGCCATATAATTATTAATGATGGACTGCAATCCTTCACGATATTGTTCCGGAGTAACTGTAACTGTTTTGATATTTGCAATCCATTCATTCATATATCCCTGATTTCTGTTGACAATTCGTACATAGCTCAGACAATGTTGTGACTGATCTTCAGGGCAATGTTTTGACTGGATTAATGTTTAAACAGATACAATACGACAAATATTCCACATTATAGTTATCTGAGAAAACAAATCTGTAAAACTCTAGTTTAAACACGGTGGTTATCTAGAACACACAATGGGGCTGACAGCTACTGTATGGTGTACGAAGCTGGTTAATCGTGGATACACACCTCCGCCCCTATAGCCATGTTAGATTTTGTGGGTAAATTTGCCAGTTTTATCTTGGATAAATACTTGGTTGAACTGTGTAAGCAGTCTGAGGATAGTTATACAAAGTAGATTGATTGTTTTGCAGTTAACAATAAGTGGGGGAGGAGGAGGAGGGGGGGGGGGGGGGGGGGGGGATGGAGTGATGTATGGGGAAATGAGATGTTATTGTTATTACTACTGTACATATTGGCCCAATACCTCAGCAAGGTAAACCTGCCATCACTTCCCTCCCTCTCCACAAAGTTTGCTTAAGGTAAAGATGACCAGTTCATTATTTAATCAACGGGAATTATCTGCCAGACATATTTGAAGAGTGAGCTATCACCATTTGCTGAGATTTACTAGACATACAGGCATGCTTGTGATTGTAATGACACAGTTGAGCTGAACGAACTGTCTTCAAACACACAAACTTCAGCCATTATAGCAGACTACCAAAAGCGTAGAACTGCATGTTTAAATATTGGAACAATGTTCAGGTGTTAGCTAACAGTTGATAACGCTAATCTAATATTAATTAGTTTATAAATGTTAAGTTATTGATGTTTATTTTGCTAAGTGAAACCAAATTGAACTGCTGTGAATATCACATTATATTTGTTGATTTTTTTTGTTTAAGTACGTTTATTTTTATAAACCTGACAAAAATATTCGACAGATCATAATTATTATAATTTATCGATGCTTCCATCTGTCTGTCTGTCTGTCTGTAGGTTCACACTTTGAATTTGGCAAGATAACTTTCATACCATTTTCATGAAATTTAGTCAGCATTTCCATTATACAGAGACCGGGGCTAATTTTGAAGTCGAGCAAAAACACGTGCATAATTAATTAGCATAGTGCTCTCTGATTGGTCAACTATATCTACACAATAACAAGAACCCTACAACCACATACCCATACATACAGATTTGAACCAAATAATTTGTTGCGGTATCTATTTTTGTACCTTAGAATGAATGAGAGGTGATGCCCAAATTTTAGAAATGATGTTTTTAAATCTACTGCTATGAAACTGCCTCGGGACCAAGGAATCTTTTTTTTGGGTTATAAGGGAAGAGTGTTGTCCCCTATGGTACTGAGAAGCATAGCTCAAAAGGGGAAAATATTTGTTATGTTTCATATCTTAAAGCTGACAGTGCAAGTTAAATAGCTTTCAATTGAGATTAAAAAATATATACATTTTTTTCTGGTTTGGTTTTGCGATCTGCCCCATATCTTCCGACTACCGGTATTGTTTCTAAGGAAGTGCCGACATTTTAGTTTGGTCCTTGCTTGGTAACGAGTATGGGTATCGCTGGGTATAAAAAGCGTTTTACCCGTCAAACCGGTTATCATTTGTTCTACGTGTGCGCAAGGTGACACTACTATATTATACATATATATAACACTTTCACGATTTTTTACCGACATTTTGTATCAGATCAGTTGAATAAAATTAAAATAGAACACATCAAAGTAAGCATTTATCTAAAAAAAGTGGAAATAGTAGAAAATGCGACCAATTAAAATAAAGTGCACAAGGTGAGTGCGTTTGATTATTGATAACAGTTGCTGAACAGGGTGCGCAGTGCATTGAATCACAAGACGGTTAGTTGTAGAATGATAACCGGTTTGACAGGTAATGCGCTTTTTATAACCAGCGAGAACGCTGCTCGTTACCAAGCAAGGACAAACTAAAATGTCGGCATTTACTTAGAAACTATAGCCGGAAGAGATGGGGAAGATCTCAAAACCAGAAAAAATATTTTGAAAAAAAAAAAAAAAAAATCTCAATTGAAAGCTTTTTAACTTGTTCTGTCAGCTTTAATGAGGAAATTTGTTACGGTTGCTTATAGATATTCTGGTGAGCAATACAGGCCCTTTGAGCCTTTTGTGCAGTAGGCTTAATGTGTATTTAGATATGAGGAGATTTTGTGTACATATTGGATGATAAGTGTTTACAATGACAATTGTATGTGAACTTGTAAACAACACAGTTGATCAGGACAAGTAGTTTACATCATTGTAGATATAAGGTATTTCACTTTAAGGATTCCTGTTCCACCGCACTTTGGTTTCTTGTATATACATTAATCTTCCTTTAATTTCGTTTTGGGTATAACTGTAGCACAGTTTGGTAGGGGTTTCACAATACTATAAGAGTGTATCACGATATATTGCAATACAGAATGAATATATTGCGATACGTATCCCGATATATTTTCATAAAGAAGGATGTGCTCAATTTTCATAATGAATTGTTGTCAGAATGTTATCAAACTTAATCATATATAATATGGATTACATAGATTTAAGAATTTTTGTCAAACCAACCAACCAACGATTACAAAATTTGAACTATTAAAAGCCTGCTTTATGCTTATTAACATATCTGTTAGAAGTTGCAGTAATTTTCAAAGTTAGCACACCAAGCAGATATATAAAAATATGCTTTTGAAAAATATTGCGATACAGCAATATTTCATCTCTGTATTGTGGTACGATACGATATACCCGTGTATTTCGATATACCTGTTTTCGATATATTGTGACAGCCCTACTGTTGGGCCAGATCAATTCTGTTGACTGGGTAGCTCAGTCATCAGTTAGAGAGATAGTATATATAACAATCTGAAGTCTAGGGTTCAAATCTCAGTCAGTCTGGCTCCGCTGAATTTTTACACACAGAACACTGCTGTTGATAATATATCGCTGATTTCATCTCTCTTATTTTCAGTAACAGCCTGCAAAGTATGCTTTTCTTTTCAGAAATGATTAATCAAAGCTGTAGTCATGCCAGAAAAAAACAGGTCCCAATGTATAGTTACAGATTTTGGCAGTGGTACAGGGATCCTTAATCACAATATTTTCCTGTTTGATTTCAGGAACTCTACAATCGAGGACTTGGAGAGACAGATTATTCAAGATGACAAGCCGCCATTATCAGGTAGGACATAGGTCAAGGTCGTTATTATAGGTCCTTTTATCTACCTGTTATCTGAATGGGTGAAGTGATAAAGGCTTGTGGCTGGATCGTTTCAGTTTCTAAAGCCAGTACAATCATATTTTGCAAAAAACAATGAGCCTTATTTGACATTGTATTTAATCCATGGCCACGGGAAATAATGTTTTAAAAATTCAGGCCAAGGAAATTCATGAATGTATAAATGAAAGACCCATCCCTGACCCCTGAATGGGGTCAGGGGAGGGCCAAATACATGAAATGGAGGAAACATTTGAGTAATACTACTTTTGTATGGTTGAAAGAACTTAAACCACATTTTATAAATCTTGGGTGATAACTTGGAAACAGTTGAGATCCCAATCATACATTTGTACATACTAAAACGCCATGATTGCCTAGATGTCTATGTATCCAATACAGGCCCCTTGCTCCCCTTGTTTTTAATAACCTCTTCCTAAATGACAAATTGTAGTTTGGATATCAGCCAAATATGGTATGAAGCCTTTTGACAAGGGAATCATAATTAATTTGAATAAAGGAAGGGTGTGGCTCCTCTGGAGACAAGGGTTGGGGCTGTAAGGAGAAACATTGGTTTATATTTTTAAAGTTTAAAGACAACTTCATAAATGTAAGGTGATTTTACTTTAATTAGACATGAATCTCTTGGCTAGGAGAATGTTATATTGTGTACAGTGTATATGAATGTTTTGACATAGTTTTCACTAAATTTAGCATGAAGAGTCGTTAAATTTGGCTAGGGAATCAAATGTTTCATATGAAGGGGTGGCCCCCTGGGGACACAGTGGTTGGACCAAATGGAAAGGGGATTTAATATTTATAGATTGCTCCTTAAATATAATTGTGATGGGATTTTTACCAAATTTTTCACGAAGGCCAGAGAATCAAATGTTATATAAGATTAGTGAAGTATGGATAACCTACCCATGGCACGGTTTATATATACATACCTTTTGGTTAGAAACAGCTGGGTATGGCTTAGGTGTGGTGGGCGGGGCTAACCATGATTGAACCATGATTCTATCGCAGATTAGAACATGGCCCATATCTGATAGAAACATCCATTGTAAACGAGTCATGTTAGAATTTAAGTAAAAAGAATGGCCCAGTTTTTTGGAGATGATGAGGTATAAAAAGATACATTTGTTGTTGTAGGTTATGACAATGGACCAGCTTTAGGAGGTGACAAGGATAAATCTCACCATGGAAACCAGTCCACTCCAGGACAGTCTGTTCCTCCCCGCCCATACTTACCATATATGGGCATGCCTACAGCATCAATGTACATGCAACCAGTAGCTCCCTACATGTCAAGTTACATGGGTGCTTCTTTTCAGCCCGGCAATTTCCTTTCCCCGCCTCGTTACTTCAATCCTGGGATGAGGCCCCCAGCCCCTTTTATACCACAGAGATACAGTCCCAGTGCAGCGGGGTCAGCAAATACCTCTGGGGAACACATCGACAACCCGCTGATGGTCGGGGATCTACAGTCCTCTTCCCCGGGGACAGGGGAGAGTGGAGACCCCCCAGGGCCGTCTGGAGATGGTCAGTCCAAGGACACGGCCAATAGCTATCCCTTTAGAACCTCCCCTTTTCACAATCACACATCACCTCCTTTCAACCCCTACATGAGTGACCCCAACTATGCAAGATTTACTAGTGGACTCAACATAGCTGGTCATTTGTCCAGTCCAACTCGGCCAGAAGATCAAGCAAAACAGGTTGCATTATTGATGGCAGAACTAGACCACGAGAAGGCATGCAATAAAAAGGTAGGTTACGTGTTATGGATACTTGTAGGGCTCAGAGATATGGATACTTGTAGGGCTCAGAGATTTGGATACTTGTAGGGCTCAGAGATATGGATACTTGTAGGCCTCAGAGATATGGATACTTGTAGGGCTCAGAGATATGGATACTTGTTACTCAACAAGTGACAATATTGCATTTATTTTGTTTAAAATCAAATTTGAAATGTGTGAAAAAAACAAAAAACAAAATTAATTTTTATTTTTCCCCCCAGTTGGTGGACAGATTGGCAGATGCGGAAATAGAACTGGAAACATCCAAGATATCATTGAAGGTGTCCAGCGCTGACCACCACTGCGATACAGAAGCAGGCAAGGCTGCAGGTAAGTGTTGTAATCCAACTCCACAATATTTATCAGGTGAAGTTACAGGCAGTATATGGAAGCAATTCTATGGATGGCTTGGTTAGTATGGTGTTAGCTCACCTGTACAAATGGCAAGTGATCTGATGCAATGGCAAGTTATTCATCTGAGGTCCAGTGTCAACTTTAATGTTTAGAACAAATTCTGCTGAATAACTAAGAGGCCTAGGGTTATGTTATTTGACAAGTAACATGCCAGTATAAAAGGCAATCAACTTTATTCAAATGGACGACCTTGACCCACTTTGAATGTCAAAGAGTACAAATCTGTTGAAATAATCATAAGGCCTAAAATCATGATACCTTTCAAGGGTCATGTGTAAAATAAGATAAAATTTCCCTCCAAAGATTCGAAAGATGTATAGTTATTAAAAAAAAAGAAAAAAGATCAATAAGATGCGGATGAATGACATTTGATATCATTTAGAATATATTTGTATCAACCTACATTAACTCATTCACCCCTGAAGACATTTGAACTCTTCCAATTCAAAGGATGGAATATTTCATTATGAAATTTCAGGGGTGAATGAGTTAACGGATAAAAATATGTGATGAATAACTGTTGAATGATACAGGCCCAATATGCCTCTTGTCCTCTTGCTTATGCAATACCATGGGGTCATCAAATTTGACTGGAAACATCTTTAGGTGGGAGGGATTCAAAATTATATAAATAGAGGGGCTAACCCCTGGGACTGGGCTAAAAAATGATAATTTGACCACACTGTATTTGTGAAGGAGTATTGAGCACACTGATACTGGAATCATTGATAGAGATATTGCCCTTCACTTGTTTTAGGTGTATCTCAAATTTATTAGGACCACATGTACATTATGACTACATCAAAACATTAAAGTAATATGAATATGTGGCCAAGTGGTTAAGGTGTCTGACATTCTGCTGTCACTAGCCCTCCAGCACTTAGGGTCGCAGGTTCGAGACCTACGTGGGGCAGTCGCCAGGTACGGCCGTTGGTCGGTGGTTTTTCTTTGGGAACCCGGCTTTTTTCCACCATCAAGACCTGGCACGTCCTTAAATGACCATAGCTATTAAAAGGACGTAAAACACAAACAAACCAAGCCAAAGAATATGTAGAGCCAGAAACATGTTTGTAAACAAATCTATGTCAATTATATAACTTCCTTTTGAATTGCACTGCTTAAGGACTGAATTCTCCTTTGGTCAGTTTCATGGAATGAAAAATTGAGGTGTACTTGAGACAAGTTCCGTTATATTTAAATCAACACATTTTTTTGAATAATTGAAACTTGTGAATTTCTGTATAGATTGTGGCTGATATTGGAGCTTGTGCAAGTCTACATATTGACGTAATGTAAAAATATAGCCCATCATTGGAGGGCCATCATACAGGGCTGTGGTGTAAGCTGGTATTTCTATACAGCAACATCGTGATGTACCATAATAAACTACAAAACCAGAATATAATCAACATACTTAGTTGTATTTGATTAATTCTTTCCAAATCTGAAGACATGCATTCATATGCACAGGCAATGTTAATCTTGTCAATTTTGATTCATCGGCGAATGAAACGGTCAAGATCTGGAAAATCTCAATGAGTCCAACTTGAGCAGAAATTGAAATATATGGTGGTGAAGTGTGGACATTTTTAGTGTGTATATCTTTTGCCACCATGTAACTGGAAATGTCTTTCTGACTTCTAACAAGAGTAAGGACATATCTTTGTGTTAAAAAATATAATACCAAGTTGTAATAGTTAAAGATATATTATAACTATACAAATGTATAACAAAAATTAGTTCACAGGACATTTTAAAAATTCGTAATTTTAGAAAAATTTACGAGGGTAAAAGTGTGTTGGTTGAGAGCCTTCTGCGTTAATTCTATATGACTATGATCTGTTTATAATTTATCAACTATTGCAAAGGAAAGAAAAATCATTGATACCTAAAATAAGTGTTGATATCTTAGAAAAATTCCCGGCAATTTTTTTTATTGTAAGGGATTAGTGAAACTTGCCATGTCTTGTTTATACAAACTCTTTCAGCCTTAATTTTTATCATTCTATTTGAAAATTGTTTAATATCTGAAAATCTTATAGTGTCCCATATAAACTCATTACATGTATATATTTATACACCCAAAAACCCTTACCAAGTTATCATTAATGTTAACAATTATCTCAAATAGGAGAAGCTTATCGGGCTGTTAATTTCCACCGTTGATTATGAAACAAATTGTTACATTTGGGAAGTCATTCTCACCCTGTCCAATGTTCACACATTTCCTTATTACAGAAACCCCAAACATGACCAACCGTGTAATATCAGGATACGATAAATCACAAAACCCTAGCCATTTACGGAGACATTACTGAGATTGTGACAGAGGACAAATTTGCAATTACAGTTAACGATTTTATCCTTCCTCTCTCCTCCTCCTCCTCCTCCTCCTCCTACGCTGCTGTTTAATATAATGTGTGTCATCGGTAGAGCTAAATGCCACGAGGTCCACGTGATTACACTAAAATGCCTTGAACGATTACTCTGAAGCTGTAGAGATGACGATAACACCTCTTGTCAGGGCCCCGGCCTATCACGGCTTTCCTCAGGTAGTCGGATCCTCGTATTGATTGGATTCAGCTGCTGAGTTGCCGTGACGACTAGATTGATGATACTCCACGAGTTTTCAATGTGCTTATTGATCTCTAACAATTAATGCTAGTGTTACACTAGCCATTTCAAGAGACAATATTTCACTTTGATGTCGGAACGTTCCTGTCCCGTTCAATCATGCACAGGAATATTATTATCACTTGTTTTAGTTTTAACAATTGATTGGCACTGTAATACCTGTTCCCTACATAGCACATTTTATGTTTTAAATTGTCATTTTTTCCCGGATTGGGAAATAAACACAGCACATATCAATCAACAGAAAGCTTGCATGGCTCGCTCACAGCGTAGGGAGCCCCGTATTGTTCCGTAGCGATGTCAACATCTATTGCTTTTTACCTCGGCTGTTGGGAGACAAATTATCACCATTGAATTAGCAGGTGCAACCAATTTATCCTGTATTAATGACCTTAAACGTTTTCCTGAATACACGGGATGGGTAGTCATGTCAGGCCTAGTCTGTTTTATAGCTGTCTATAACCTGACACCATCAGATAATAGACTCGACGCAAAATGAATTAAACGTGACGTTCTATAATGTCACGGAGTCGTATTATCGCCTCACAAATTGTAGCTCCTCTATTGAATGTCTGAGAAAGAAACAATTTGGAGAGTTTTGGTACAAAATACAGAACAATATCAAACAGTTAATTGATTTTGAAAAAAAATCTATACTTTTGACAATAATGTAGGGCTATTACAATTCATTTGTTTTCTTTATATGAATAAATTTTTCTATGAAGAAAGGACTGATAAATATCTATTTTTTTATGAAGCATATAATTTTTTATTTTTCAATTGATATTAATGATTAGTGTAGGTATTGAAAGAAGTGTAATAGACCCAGTCTGATACCACCAAAGTTCTGTTTTCATTTTGAGTGCATTTATCAGATCTGGACAAGAGATATACAGGGTAGTGTAATCTATAATCTACACATGGGAACTGGGGTATCCATATTGTTCCTTTCCTAATTACGGCTCCATTCATCAGCTGTAGTATGCAGGGTTTAGGATCAAGCGTATCCAATATAAAAGGTACAGACTCATATTGACTGATCAAGCAGGTTTCTCCTGACTCATTTGAATTAAAGTCCTGACCTAGAAAATTTGTGCTCTCTGGCCCAGTCCACCGAAGGACCAGAAAATTCATATATTTTTATTGTAATAATGATTATTAGGCAATTTCAGGTTATGAAACTTGATTCAAATACTTGAAATAATGCAATATTTTATAAAATTATTTAAATGAATTAACATGAAGTTTCAACTTCATTCTTCAAATTTCATGATTGTTCATGAAAATTTCAGGCAAATTCATATGACATTATAAATGCATGGTTATCAGTTTCTTGTAATTCAAGTAGTTTCCTAACTTGTATTTTAAATGAAATTCATGAAACACTATTACATGTAAATCCTGATCATGCTAGTTAAAAAAAAAAATTGAAATTGTATTTTTTGTTATTTTCTCCAGGGAAAGTTAATGTAGCTGCAACTGTTGTTTTAGATTCAAATTCATGATAATTCACGTGTAGACTTCCTGAAAATGTCCTGCTCAGGATGGTCGAGTTATTAACAGTATCCTGTGTCAGTTTAACATAATACCTGGATATTGTGTATTAGGGTATGGCTGCAGCTGCTCACGGTTTCTCGTAAATGAGTAATGAGGTCACGTCCTAACTTCACTCCTGCCGTTTTACTTGTTTGACTCGTTCTCGATAAAAGGTTGTGATTGACACCTGCAAAATTTGACTATTGTTTCTCAATCGACCTCACACAATTACAAGCACTAGTGGTCATGCTCTCGTGAACACCCAGGTGACTGCCCGAGGCTGACGAGTGATTCTAATGGCGTCAGGTCTCGTTCATCACCCAGCTGGTATAGTGACTGATGTGGTCAAGCGAGTCCCTAATTATCTATTTTACCATTTTATGGCCTCTCACACTTTCATTTTTTTTTCTCCGATTATTGATATCTGGAAATTTCAACTCCCATACAGAATTACGTTCAGGTGTGGAGTTGTTTTAATGTTGGCCAAAATATTGGGAGTCTTCTGCTGAAAACAAGAGAGTTGACATGTCTCTGAGAGTTGATTTGTTTTCAACTTTAGTGCAATGTTTAAATTGCTAAAATAAAATTAGCACTAAAATATTACAATTACAGTATATTTTTTGAATTTCAGTTGAACTGAAATAATTCAAACTTAGCTGAAATAAAATAAAATTAGCACTAAAATATTATGATTACAGTATATTTTTTGAATTTTCAGTAAAAAGGAAATAATTCAAACTTAGTTGAAAATATTGAAATGAGATGGCAGTATGTATAGGGCCTAAAGGGCAGGGTCAGAAGTGGAAAAATCTATAAAGATTTAAAAATCTTCTTCAGAAACAGAAACCCTAGAATGCTATATGAATAGAAAAGATTTTAGGATGCATTTATTACAGGGTATAATTGTGAATTTTATTACCCTGGATTATCTGTTGGTGAATGTGGTCGTTTGGTAGTTATATGATCAGTCTACCAAACTTCAACCTGCTGTCCATGTTTTGGCAGTGTTGATACTGATTAGATTTTTAAACCCGGGACTGTTATAGCAAAATAAGTAAAAAATAAGTCACATGCCTTTCTTCAGAGATAAAAAATGTCTCTGCTGTTGTTCCATGTTTATCTAACTACAATGTAACATGTAACCAATGTGTACCTACCGTAGTATATATATGAAAGTAGTTAAAGCTGCTAAACTTTGACTATGCAGTGTTCCGCAAAAAATGATTCCTGTGAAAAAGACCTGATTAGGACAACAAATAAACTATACAGTAGATCATATCTTGTTGGGCAGATACATTGGGCATTTACAAGTTACTGTATATAGTGCTTTGAATTCGATGGATCAATATTTCGCGGTTTCGTATTCAGTACATATTCATGGGAGTTAAATTTCGCTGTGCAACCGAACCCCATGTGTTGTGCAAAGTATTTTGAGTGTCATCATTTATGGGTTAAACCTCGAAATGACACTCAAAAAAGTAGTTAATATTTTCGATAATTTTGCTCGTGTTTAGAATTCGTGGATATTAGTCAAAGTGCCAATATAGCAAAATTAAAAACCCCGCGAAATATAACCGGCGCTATACAGTATTTCGTACTATATTGGTAATGCATTGGTTATCTCCCTTTGTAGCACTTGTTCAAGAAGTCCACACAGCACAGAAAAAGCGGGATGAATTGTCCCAGAAGAGAATCAAGGTAGCCAATCAGGAACGCGATGAAGCTTTGTTAAGGTTACGACAGGCAGAAGTACGACTGGATGACCAGTAAGTTAACAGTCCTGATTACTATGGAATATTCATACAAATTCAATATAGTATGTATATTGTGTGCCCAAGAAATGTATATACCACCATGTGTTAAAGAAAATGTATTTTATGAGTCATAGAAATATGTACCAAGTTTGATGTCATCATAAGAAAAGTGTGCTATGTTGCATAGAAATATGTATTCTAAGTGTCATAGAAAGGTGTACTATTAGTCATAGAAATGTGTGCACTATAATTCATTAATTGTGTAATTGAAATGTGTGTGCTAAGTGTCATACAAGTGTGTGCTTAGTGTCATAGAAATGTGTGTGCTTAGTGTCATAGAATTGTGTGTGCTTAGTGTCATACAAATGTGTTTGCTTAGTGTCATAGAAATGTGTGTGCTAAGTGTCATAGAAATGTGTGTGCTTAGTGTCATAGAAATGTGTGTGCTTAGTGTCATACAATTGTGTGTGCTTAGTGTCATACAAATGTGTGTGCTTAGAGTCATACAAATGTGTGTGATTTGTGATAGGAATTTGAATGTATGTAATATTTCTCATAGATATGTTTGCACTTTGAGTCATAGAAACATGTGTGCTATGTGTTGTAGGGGCTATGGAACACCTGAAAGATCAGACAGTGACGATTTAGATGAAGATGATCAGGTATGTAATTAAAACCGAGCCATGTGAGAGCTTACTGAGCTAATGCTGTGATGCTGTGTACTACTGTCCCTCTGGTGTAAACTTTTGATTCTTCTGATATCAAACTTCAGGAATTAATCCTTCTAGGGTTGATAAATCATTGTATCAACCTCAACAGAGGTTAATAATTGTATTCAATGTATTTGAAGGGAATGAAATCTTAAACAGATTTATAATTTGAAAGATATATTTGAAAAAATTGTTCTAATAATGAACAATTTTCTTCAATTTGCATTAAATTCTGATATGATTGAACAAATTAATAATGAGGTGTTGTAGTTGAGGATATTGACTTTAACCTCGAAGAGTAACAAAGCTAGTTTTGTGGAGTTTATGAAGATTATTGATTAGGATATGATGTCGGGCTTAGAACAGAGTCACGCCAGCGGGGGGTTCACAATCTATGTAACCCATGAAGACCCGATATGTTATATATGTCTTTGATTGTGTGATAAACAAATGCATGGATGATCCAGGTGAGTTAATGTTGTCGAAGGGTGGAATTTGTAGGACTTATCAACATACCAACATTAGTCACCAGGTCAGTAGAAATGGAACCAAGAGTATTACACAGGTTTGATCTGATACCATGACTTAGCCATTTTCTGGTATAATACAGATTTCATTGTCTATCCGTTTTATCACTGGGATTTTTTGCTCTTTGACCTAGAGGGAAGGATATAAAAAAAGGGCGTGGCATCCCTGGGAAAGAGGGGCGAGGCTCATTAGGTGAAATAAGGGTTGATCTTTAAAGACAACCCATTAAAAGTGCAAGTGAAGGGAGTTTTGACCAAATTTGACTTGAAGTATTCCTTGACCAAGGAAGTTTATTGTTGTATGAATAAACATTTTAATTCTCTTGGGAACAAGGTTATCAATGTATCAACTGTATGGCTGTGTCTGTATTTACTGTATGGCTCTCTATATTTACTGTATCGCTGTGTCTATATTTACTGTATGGCTGTGTCTATATTTACTGTATGGTTGTCTATATTTACTGTATGGCTGTCCTTATTTCCTGTATGGCTGTGTCTGTATTTACTGTATGTCTATCCTTACTAACGGTATGGCTGTCTATATTTACTGTATGGCTGTGTCTATATTTACTGTATGACTGTGTCTATACTTACTGTATGGCTGTGTCTATATTTACTGTATGGCTGTCCTTATTTCCTGTATGGCTGTGTCTGTATTTACTGTATGTCTATCCTTACTAACGGTATGGCTGTCTATATTTACTGTATGGCTGTGTCTGTATTTATTGTATGGCTGTCTTCATTTACTGTATGGCTGTCTATATATTTATTGTATGGATGTGTCTATATTTACTGTATGGCTGTGTCTATATTTACTGTATGACTCTATATTTACTGTATCGCTGTGTCTGTATTTACTGTTCGGCTGTCCATATTTACTGTATGGCTGTGTCTATATTTACTGTATGGCTGTGTCTATATTTACTGTATGGTTGTCTATATTTACTGTATGGCTGTCCTTATTTCCTGTATGGCTGTGTCTGTATTTATTGTATGTCTATCCTTGCTAATGGTATGGCTGTCCATATTTACTGTATGGCTGTGTCTGTATTTATTGTATGGCTGTCTTCATTTACTGTATGGCTGTCTATATATTTATTGTATGGATGTGTCTATATTTACTGTATGAATGTGTCTGTATTTAGTGTATGGCTATCCATATTTACTGTATGACTCTGTATTTACTGTATCGCTGTCTATATTTATTGTATGGATGTGTCTGTATTTACTGTATGGCTGTATCTTTATTTACTGTATGGCTGTCTACATTTACTGTATGGCTGTGTCTGTTTCAGGGCATGGAACAGCTGCTAGCACGGCTTGGTGGACCAGAATCTGGGGACGGTGCAGAGCAGGAGTGCTCTACCCTGCTTCAGAGGCTGGAGATGAGAAAGAGGAGACAGCAGGAGATCACTGCGGAGGAGATGCAGGTCATTCTCGAACAACGTGACACCGCTCTGGCAAAAGTAAGGGTTCCATTCTAATTAAAGGGGTATGAAGTCAGGGGGTCACTGTAAGGAGGTAAGGTAAGTGGGTCACTTTATTTAAGGGGGTAATGGCAAAGATATCACTGGTAAAATTATAAAGTAAGGGGGTCACTATTAAAGAGGTAGGATATGTACTAGTGTCACTTGTAAAGAGGTAAATTAAGGGGGTCACTAATAAAGAGGTAAAGTAATTCACTAAATGGTCACAAGAAAAAAGGCTAGCATTTGCTGCAAAAAATACCAAATGGATTTTGCACTTTAAAAAAACCCAAGACTAGACTACATTTGAATTGATACATGACAGGCCTTACCTGGTTTTGGGAGTGAAGACGGAGACTTTGTTGGAATATAATATAAAACACAGTCTTAAAGATATTTCTTCATTTAGGCCCGCAGGTATGAAGAGGAACTGCTCCGACAGCAGCGACAGGGGGCCGACCATAACCTCAAAGTAAGATCTTTGTTTTCGTACTGTAATATCTGACAATTTCATGCATTTACAATTGTTGTGTGCAGGTTTGGTAACTGCCTGTAGGTAATCATTGATATATTCACAAACGTCCAGACATATTTAAGGTGGAACAAAACTTGATTTGCATTCAACCTTGAATGGTGAAAAAGATTATTGATATAAAAAATGTATGATGAGTGTCTATTGTGATGTCACCATCAAATCGATGCTGACAGCTTCACATCATGATCAGCATCCTCAAGGTTTCAATTTTAATGAAACTTCATCTGGCCATTTCTGACACCAGTCTCTCAGAGACCATTTTAATGTGAGGGTCATACATTCAAGGTCAAAAGCTACAGAATCTGTTCATGATGATTTTGAAATTTTCAACTAAATTTAATTTCAACTCGCTCCATATTTCTAAATATCTACACATGCATTCATGAGAATCAGTAAATATGTACTCCAAACTATCCGTCCTTCTCCCACAATGATGTAAGTGGGCATATTGTGTACTGTGGTACTGTTGTTTAGAGTTCGTGTAGTGTGACTAATCTGCCTGGGGATGGGATCTCGGAGGCAGACAGTGCAAACATACAGGATCAATTTAGTGACTTCTACGTTAAGAACTGGATGTTAAAACCATAGGCTGCTCTGTTGGTGTCTGTACTTGCGAATGTCCTGTTGATCTGATATGCTCCAGTATTAACTGTCAACTAGTCATCAATCCTTACCTTCCCCGACTTTTGTCTTCTCCCCCTTCACAGTACCCAATCTCTGTGTTAGTGTCCTGTTGATCTGACATGCTCCAGTATCAATCCTTACCTTCCCCGACTTCTGTCTGCTCCCCTTCACAGGACCCAATATCTGTGTTAGTGTTCTGATTCAGTAAGAATAGTAGGATGATAAGTTAGACAAGTACTAAACAAAGTCTGGAGTTAGATCTACATAAGTTATAAAACTATTTTCCAAATCCAATTTCAACAATTGTGTATTGCTTTACATCATACGGTAAAGGAAAAATAAATAAATACAGTTTATATTAACATAGTCACTGCCATCCAAAAACTAAGAGTACTCTGGCTATATTAAGAGTACTCTGGCTATATTAAGAGTACTCTGGCTATATTAAGAGTACTCTGGCTATATTAACAAAGATCTCTTCTGTGTCCAAGAGCATGAATCCTTTTCTTCAAGGGCAATAATAAGCAAAGCAAGATCTTTCCAAGGAGCAACAGGAATCTCTGGTTTGACCCTTCCTTCTCTCCAGGGGTCAGCCTATCTGTGTCTGTCCAGGAGGAGTCTATGATTTATGGGAAAGCCAGACAGCTTTCTATTTAGTCAGACCTTAGATGGACAGTGCACCTTACTTTGTGCTTTGATTTAGGGTTTTGATTTCAACAGGTCTGTGGTCGGGCAGTTGTCTCCACAGTGGAGGCTGTAGTGCTTGTGTCCTTGATGTCTCCACAGTGGAGACTGTAGTGCTCGCGTCCTTGATGTCTCCACAGTGGAGACTGTAGTGCTCGTGTCCTTGATGTGGTCACATTGTGATGCTCTGGACTCTTCTTCATTGAATTTTGATACATGAAAGATGGTCTTCCTTGAGCTTATAGTCTTGGCATTGGGAGTAAGGTACATGTCCTCCCATCCTTCTTGTCTTCGTAATAGTTCATTAAAGTTATTGTAAGTTCCTTAGCGGCTGTAGATACATGTGAAAAATTTGGTGCCGTATCATCACTTATGAAGAATTTGGTCCCGTATCACAACCTTTTCGACAAAGAATTTGGTCCCGTATCACAACCTTTTTGACAAAGAATTTGGTCTGCTATCACAACCTATTTGACAAAGAATTTGGTCCCGTATCACAACCTTTTTGACAAAGAATTTGGTCCCGTATCACAACCTTTTTGACAAAGAATATGGTCTGCTATCACAACATTTTTGACAAAGAATTTGGTCTGCTATCACAACCTTTTTGACATAGAATTTGGTCCCAAATCACCAGTTATTTGACAAAGAATTTGGTCCTCTATTGCAACCTATTGGATTCATATATCTCGTATTGGTATTGATTAATGCCTGTTGGACGTCTAATCAAATAGAGAATAGTGGGTGACGGGAGTAATCCAGGGATAACGTTACATAATTCTGTCACTGTGTAAGTCTCCAGCACATTAAAGTCGCCCATTCTGTAATATAGCATTACGCTGGATATCAACAATCCTTGAATTATGTTAGATATGCAAGTAGATCCTTTTTGAATACAAATACAAACATCGGGGTATTTACTACGGATTTAGGCTTCACTTCGACACCGTCCTCAACACGATTCTCTCACTACAGCACAAAGGTACAGTGAACCAGTGTGTCGTGGTTTTGGCATTGATCTTGGGCGTATTTGATATGTTTGATTATTTATTTATTGTTTTCAACTCATAGCTTCCTTGTACAGATATATAATAAAACTCCTTCACCATCCCAAAGATAAAACTAAGAATCATATCTTATGTTATCCAGATTTATTTCTATGTAGTTGACAGGTTCGTTTGAGTACAGGGGTTATTGGGTAGCCCTCTGTTACTAGCTGGTAAACGTTTTAGGATTATGTAGACAGAGCTATGCTCTATCCAATAAATGAAACTCCGATTTACAATGATTTACTGTAGCAATATACATTACACAAATTAAAAACACAGGACTCTGGTCGATATTACTGCTTCTTGTTCTGACAGTTTTCAAATGTAAGATTGAAAAGTTGAATTAATGTTATTTTTTATGGGAATTGCGTTGTATTTATAAAGCTTAAATTTTCATATCTGTCTTTGAACAAACATTTCTCTCACATTTTAGAAAATATTTTACTAGAAATGAGAAAATATTCTACTAGAAATATTTTCTAAAATTCTGTCAATTTTGAGCAGTTTTGTTCAACTTAAACTTATATTTTAAATTTTCATTTGTAACTACAATTTTACAATGATTATTGATTTTTTTTCTCTTTAAAATTTTGAAATTATTTATTAGATATACTAATTAAGATTTTATGGCAACACATTCTAAGAAGAGATTTTTTTCTAGGCTCAGATTCCTTTATCTGTAAATAATTGTCTAAATGTTCTTTTTTTAAATAACTTATTTGTTGGTGGCATGCTATTTAGGTTGAATTCATATTCCATGTATACATTGATTTTATAATGGGATTTATCACTTAAGTATTATTGTTGAAAATCAAATATTCTCCAGATCAAAGTGATTTAATCCTTTTGACAAAATCTTTTTTTTTACTGGTAACAATATTTTTGTAAAGCAATTTATCAAAAATCTATGATAGAATTAATATCAGCCAATGAATACTATTATAGACTATAAACTAAACAAATTCTCTAAAAACAAGTTTTAATGTTTTTATGCATAAACTGTGAGGTAATGCTAGGAAAAGGTATGATATTATTTAATATAATTATAAGATTATTTAAAACATTACATATTGAGCAGGGCTTTTTTCATATTTAACTCATTCACCCCTGAAGATACATTTGGACTCTTCCAATTCAAAGGTTGGAATAGTTCATTATGAAATGTCAGGGGTGAATGAGTTAAGATGGTGAGATTAAGATTATTTAACCAAATAAGAACAAGAAAAAAGAACTGTTATGTTATTAAAAACTGTTGTTTTTAAAATGAACTTTTTGAGTCTGAAGCTAAGTGATGTTGGTGTATGACCTAGGGTGTCAGCCATTGTACCAGAGACGGCCATTGTGAGCCCTACTATTGTATCATCGGAACTGTTGACATGGTTTACTGCGTGTTAATGTTTGACAAATACCAACATAGCTTGATCTGTTTGTACACAAAAAAGGAATTATCTTTTTTTTAACAGCTTTAAGCAAACATTTAAAAACTAAACGGTATTTGAACATGATGCAGTTTTAGTTATGCGTAGTTGCATATGTATACATGGGTATATGATGGGTATGCGAGATTGAGGATGAAAGTCACTGACGGGCCTCTCAATAATGAAGTGAGGGGTAGCGGAATAGATCTATAGATGGGACAACAGGCCAGTTTGTTTTTATAGGAGCGTTTTTGAGGATAAAGGGTCATGAATGAAGTTTATTTGACTAGTTGAGGTCGGTGTGTTTGCCATGTGATCTCACTATGAGCTAAAGACTGTTGACAGAGATTGGCTAGAGCTTTACACTGGGCAAATAGGTTTTGTATACAACTTGTGAACAACATCATGTAGGCAAACAGTGGAAACAAACACTACAATCTGACAACGCTAATCACCACGATAACAACAAGAGAAAGTGACGAAATTCCATTTTAATGAACTTAACCTTAAATTGTAGGTGGTCCACTTTTTTCACACACTAATATTGTCCATTGTACATGCAGTACCAATTCAAGCCCATACAAAATGGGATTCGAAGTTAATGAAAGGCTTATACGCAGAAATATATATTTTGATTGTAAATGATCAAGCATTTATTATCACATTTGTGACTGTTCTCGCGATTGTTGTCAAGTGTCGTACACACTGCTTTGTGTAAATTTGTATTTTGGTCTTATCAGAACCATTGTGTATCAAAGTTAAACAAATGATGATAGCTGGTGGGTCCTCATTTAAACTTGTCACACCCGTGATGGACTGTTGTTATAATGTGAAGGGCCTTTTTGAGACCTGGGGTAGATCAACAACAAATGCACATAACTGTTTATTTAATCTATAAGTAGCTGTTATAAGTAAACACATCAGGGGAGAGCACTGCATTCTTTAACACTGACATTAAAGAGGTTTTTTTCGTGTTTTTTTCTACCTCCATTTTCCTTTCACCTAATTCAAGTTTGGTCAAATTTAAAAATGTATAAAGAATGAAATGTCTTGAAAATTTAGTTTTGATAAGCATTTTTTGGTTTGTCGATTTGTAAAAAAATATTCTCAAAGTTGATTACAGAGAAATGAAAGCTGCAAAATCACTTCTAATATGATAAAG